AGGTATTTTTCTTATTACTTAGCAAAATGGTTTTACCAAGCCAGGTTACGCGGCTGCATGGCATCATTGTGTTGCTTGTGGAGGTTTAGGCTGCCAGTTAAACCTGCTGTCACTCCATAGTATTTATCCCCCGCAGTGCTGAGGTACACTTACTCTTGTTCGCTATCAGCTAGATAGTTCAGAAGCCATTTCTCGTATGCTTATCCATCAGCACAGAAATATTTCTGCTGCCGGTACTTTTCGTATGCTACAAATAGTTAAAAAAACACGTTTAAAGAGAGCGATGCTGTTACTTTCGGTAGCAATCCTGTTTCTTATGATCATTACAGTGGTTTAATGAGCTGCAGCCGCCTATGGCATAGATCGAACATGAGGTAGTTCGTACTCGTTGTTGTTTCGTCGTGAGTCATTATTAGTATCCTCGATTCAGTGCCAGTATGTGACGAAGCTTGGTCTGTGTTGTTTTCTGCCTTGAGCCATGGAAGTATGAATGAATTATTGAATACTGTTCAATGCACGAAATGTAACAAAGGGTTGCTACTCTGATTTGATCAGAGAAATTACGCAACTGATCAATCGACAGCGGTTGGTGCTGCAACGGTTTTGGTCACACTCAATAAAAATTCCAAACCGAACATCAAGTGAGAATTTATTGCCACCATAACGTTTGGACCGCGCAATAATCATCTTCAGAGGTGAAACGAGAGCTTCGATACAATACGACACCCTGCTAATTGTAGGACAGATGTAATAGGCGGGTTCAGGGAGACAGCGGAACAGGTTACGTATTGTTAAGGATTGCCTACTCGGTAAAGCGTCTGACTTAGAACCAAGAGGTCGCGGTTACAAGCCCCGCCCAGGTCTCGATTTCCTTCCTTCTGAAGTTGATAATTTTTGCTTGACACAGCTGTAGACTCTGCCTTTAAAATAAGTTAATTGTTACTGATGATGTGGAAATGGGCATCAGCGCATCACCATTAACTTAATGAACAGAAGGACGCCTGAAATAGCCCCGTCCTGTGAGCATAAGGAAGACAGACATTAAGACACCGACTGCAAACTTTCATGTTCAATTTTTCCATGTTATAGAATAATCAGATGGAGCACTGTGATCATCTCATAGTCTGATGTTGTTCGCTAAGACGCGTAACGGTTCTTTTGGGCACTGTTAAGCGGAGTCACCGTATAACGCTGAAATTGTTCTTCTACACATTAGCCAACTAAGCACCGTTCCAATTAGTCACAATGGCGAGCAACTGTTTCAGTTAGATTGAAGAAGAATTCATTGTCGGTTTACACTTGAGTATGAATATTCGTTTGAATGAGGCAGTGGTAAAGTTGTGAGAAACGGCGATCGTAATGTATGCCAATGTCTTTGTTGATGAAAGCTTCGTTGTGAAGAGGTATTTTTTTATGCAGAGGTTGGAGATGATATTGATTTACACAGTGCTCTGCCGGACCAACAACAAGCGCTTCATCATAAAGGAGAGCGTTGGTAGATAATCTTCTTTGGTTGATAATATTCTTGAACATAGGATTCACCCTAAACTGCTTCTGTGCATGCAGTAGAAACTTGAGTCACATGTTCATAATATACGGACAGTTGCAGCGGTTGGTGCCGTTGTGTGGTCATGTCAGAGCGTAGGCGTATGGTTATGCTGTTTGGTGCGCCAGCTTAACGTATGCGATACAAAACGTGGAAGGTGAAATGCTAAGAATTTTCGACGCTGCGGTCTCGTTAGTCGTAAGGGAGATACGATTGCGCATGGTGCCGTGCTATTGCTAATATATATCTGAGCGGAAGTTCGGTGTTTTGTGGAGATTTGGTCGTTGACCTCATATTTGTGCTTTTTGTTGATTATAATAGCGGTTGATATTTTTCTGTCCTGTTTGGTTCTTTAGTACATGTTTATTTTGCTTTTCAGAAAACGCATTTTCCAGGGAAAATTTCGTAAGCAGAGAAAGTTTCGAAACGCTGCAGGCAGCTTTTGAACTGTTTAAAAAGGAAACCGTTACCAGGATGAAGGAATTGGAACGAAAGATTTGTTCGCTCGAACGAAAGGGAAAGTTGTGACTGTTTTATTGACAACGGCATTCCGAGTTATTTCCTCTAACAGTAATGTACATTTGTGATTTTACGAATTACGGCGGCATCCCAGACGTGCGCGTTTTCTTCGGTACTGTTTATGTGGTTAATTCTATGTTTATGCTTCGATGACGCAAAAGATATTGCAGATCATAGTGCCTTTGTTGTGTTGCATCGTTGTTATTGCTCGTCCGAAACTTAATCGAATTATCATGGGATGCCGTTGTATGTCAGTCACAGGTTTTAAGTTTAACTTATTTTGTGTCTGATTTTTCATATACTGTTGTTACTTTTACACATCGGGCTATTTAGTCATGTTCATTATTTATGAATGAACCGTTTCTGCCATTCGCGTGAACGTGACGCTAGTTTTTGAGGTTTTGAGCATTATGGTCGGTTTCTAAATGGCCTCGCGACTTTATGATTGACACTGACTACTTGAAAGTGAGGAATGAAACTCCATATGTGTTATTGTCGATGTAACGTTGTTTGCCGACGCCACCATTCAGTCGGTCACTTCATTTACACTTGTTCGGCAAATGCCTCCTACATTTTAACATTCAGACTCATGACTGAATTGACTTTTGACTTGTTGAAGGTGACCAATCTGTACCTACAGATAATGAAATGGGGAGATTCGCATCGCTTTCTTATACCCTGGCAAAGGCTGTCAGAAAATGATTAAAGATATTTTTGAACAGTTAAGTCATTGATGGCTTTAAATTACGTTTGTTTCCAAAGAGGCATGCGAGAGTATTTCGATACGACGTGCTGGTCCAATAATTCCTGACACAAAGACAGTAAGAGTTAGCAAATGGTGAAAGAAGGCATGTAGTGTTATTTCTAAGTGTATTTTAAAGTCGAAACCAGCCATTAAAGAATACGTTTTAGGTGGCTTTGGCATCGCAGGCTAGAATTAATGATTTTATGTAAACGGTTTTGTTAATTTTAAGGTTTGATGCGTTATCATGGGTAAAGTTTAATGTACGGTTTGGGTTTATGATGGCGGTTCGCTGGCAACTGATTTCTGCTTCCATCTCTTGCAAATTTTCCGAAGTAACGCAGATGATGTGGCAACAGTATTAATATCAAGATTTATTCCTACTTTAGCAAATTTTAAAAGATACGGGAAATTACGATAATCACAGCTCCTTTAGGCTACCGGAAGCAGTTACGCCGCCGTGAATTCAGAGACGTGGTAGAAGATTGTTGTTCGTACCGGTGGTATCAAAAACTATCGATTTTATAGTTAACTTACTTTACCAGGGTTAATTATCACTTTATGTATCTGCGGATCAAAATATAGCCTTATTCGACCCGTCAAAACGATTTGATTTTGCAGTCATCTACTGCAGCTGCTAGCAGCAAGAATCCGGTGAAGTGAGAGGAGATTGTTATTCTCTCGGCGGCATAGAAAACCGGCAATTTGCCAGTAGACCCGCGATTAATGTTTCTTAGATAATTAATACATGATTTGTTTTACAGAGAGTATTTTTCCGTAAAAGATACTGTATTCCAGTTTCAGCGTTGAATCTTTCCTGTCCATTTCTTAAACGTCGTTTATTCGCTTCGTATTGCAAACAGTATTGGAAAATATCGAATAACTCATTATGGAATGAAGAAACTCTTTTAAGGTCCGTTTTTACCATCTAAAGAAATATTAAAGTGATTCATGGATGTGGTTAAATGTTAATTTTCGCAACAGCTTTTTCGGTGGGTTAATCTACATCAAAGGTAGGAATATAAAAGAAGAGACATCTCTTAGTTTAACCGAAGAAATCTGCAGTTGGATCATGGCCATAATTAGAAATACATGCGACGAAACAAGATTCTCTGTTCGCGTAGGAGTCAATAGAAGGTTGTCAATGAGGTCATTTTTGTGTTCGTTGGTGGCAGACGTCTAAACTCAGAGGCCTACAGGGCATAAGCCAAAGTACATGTATCAGATAGCAGGTGGAAGTGAAAGGGTTAGCTAAGAAAGCAGTTATACGAAGCAAAGCTTCCTCTCAGTAAGAAAGTGAAGTGATAGTTTGCGGGTTATTTATTAGAGAGAGTATAGGAGCTGGAGAAGACGTGTACTAATCTCTTGTGTAAACTGAAGATTCTGGATTCTAGTCATCTGGATTGCATTATAAAAAATATCTGGAAAGTCAAAGATGCCAATTAAGTTAAAGGCGAAGGTCTATAGAAGAGTCAGATAAATAAAAACGAATAAATGAAACCTAGTAGTCTCTGAATGGTTGGCCACACTGAATAGATGCGAGCAAAAGCGGTACCCCGACTCTAATATAATGCGTCAAGTGCTGGGATGGATGTGCGGTTGGGTGAGCAGCAACAACCACCTTCAATATATTTTCGTAACGGATGCACTCCTTTTCTTAGCGTATTCCTTTAAACTGGCATCAGGTTTTTAAGTCAACTGCCTATGCACTGTTTCTAACTTTGGTTAAATCTGTCATCACCCACAGTTTCGTATCGTTCTTTACGACATCCGGGCACCTATTCTTTGATATTTTCCTTCTTCCACTGTAGAGTCGCTGCTTAGATACCTTCCAATATACTAGTGTATTTCTCTCTCCGCGTGAGCGAAGCAACAGGGCCTACTTTCGATCAGCTCTTCTGAAATTGCTGCTACATTCAGAGTAACTTTTACGGAGGTATTCTGGATATGTTGTTTTCTGTTGACACCACATCCATCTGACCACTCGCATTTCTACCGGGTCAATTTGCACACTCAGTAGAAATTGCAATTTTTAATGTAATAAAAGTCGTTTTAGCATGTTCATTTCATCACCCATAGCGCATAGATATGTGCAGGTACAACTGCGTCATTTTTTCTCTCAGGCTTGTTTTTACTTCCCTTTCGAATCGAAGAAACTAGTCTTTGCTTCACGTCTCTGGCGGTAAAACATGGCTGGAAAATGATGACCTGGATAGAGTCCTTTCTGTATATTTTTTATTCTGGAAGAAAATGTGTGTTACCTAAAAAACAACCGAACACTGAACCGTAGATGCTTAACTAATGCACTATGAATGAAGCTTACCGCAAAGCAAGCCTTTTTGTGACATTGTGATAAAAAAGGATAGGATATTTCGGAGGGAAAGTGTACGGCCATATAGCGAAGAG